CAACATAATGTTATGTTTATCGGAAATATTAAAGTTAATCTCTCAGCTTGAAATGAAAACTAAAACAAAAGCGTCAAGAAAGATTTCTGATTATTAAACAATCATTTAAAACGCGTTTTTATCGTGTTTTTGTAGAGGAACGTATATGTACAGGGTACAAGTGCTATTTGAGGACATATTGTTTTAAGTTCACTACACACTCAGATCATTTATAATATTATTTTTTTTTATTTCAGATAACCCAGTCAGAGGAAGACCCAAGAAATGAAAAGACACGCAACATTGTTGCTTTATCTGCAGAGCATAGTGATTTAAAAATCAGTAACTTTTTACATGTTGCCAGATTATTTGTTCATAAGCTTCGGTTGGAACTAGAGGGGTATGATGGCAATGTTTCCCTTGTATTAAAAAGAAAAAGGCATTCTTAGCGCTCTGATACCGTTAGAACACCAGAATTTATACGCAATGTTCAAAACATCATAGATGAGAACCACCGGAAGAACAGTGAGGGCCATCACCAAAGAACATATCAGAGTAGACTATCAGAACCGTGTTACATCAGGACATTCAATATAAGTCATATGTAATGAGGAAAGGCCAATTCATATCGGCGAAGACACAGGAAAACCGTCTTATGCGTTATTGCTGAACAAAGTGAAAAATCCACACGAACATGGCATGCTTTGGCTTTTCTCTGACGAAAAAAACTTTGACCAAGATCAAAAAACACACGGACGGAATGACAGATGGCTATGTGCATTTCCTTCTGAAGTACCCACGGTGATGCGCACCAAATATCCGGCTACTGTGGTGGTTTTAGGAGTTGTGAGCAGTGAAGGTCATGTCATTTTCCCACAAGGTCATAGGGTCAATGCTGCTAGATACATTAATGTTTTTAAAACGGTTGTTAAGCCCTGGATAAGTAAAATATGCAATGAAAGGCCATATGCCTTTCAAAGCCATTTCTCACAAAGCCATTGTAGCCAAGGATTGGTTATCAGAGAAATTTTACGATCATGTGACCCTCAACATGTGGCCACCTAACTCGCCAGATTTAAATGCTATGGACTATTACGTGTGGATTCGTTGAAAGGGAGACTAATCGACATCCTCATAGTACCATAGCTTCACTGAAGGCCGCCATTGTCCAGGTGATATCCAAAATGAATAGGGACCACTTAATTGCAGCTTGTGGACGGTTTCAAGCCCGAATAGAAGCAGTCATTGAAGCCAAAAGGTGATTTCATAGATTAATTAGATAAAGAAGTATCATGAAGGATATTTGTGTCAATTTGAATTAAATATATACATTGTTTGCTAAGATATTGATGTTTATTTAACATACTAAAAATGTCCTCAAATAGCACTCGCACCCTGTATATATGTGATACGATAAGGGACAAATAGGAAATGTTTATAAATCTAATATGTTTCTCTTTTAGTAAGGTTCACCAGAGAATACATTAAAATTTTTGAAATATTTAAATTTTGTCTTGTGTGTTTTTATTGGTTAAGCAGGACATAACAGCTTTTGTCTTCTCAAGCAGCGTTAGTGTGAGTAATTCATGTCTGTATTTGTGACTAGATTGTCTATGCAGGTATCGGATGACAATATATATTCGTTTTCTTCTTTTTACTCCTCAATATTTCATTCTCCAATGAAGCTTTAATAAAAGCGAAACATGGTAGATATATAAACTTTTCTTACTCTTTCCTTCTCCTATCATTATGTCGTATTCAATCCACATTTCATCCATTATCTGATCACAATTCACACACACACACACACACAGACACACCCACACACCCACACGCACGCACACACACACACGCACACACACACACACACACACATATATATATATATATATAAAACCATATTTCATCTATATTTGATTCCAATTCATATATATATATATATATATATATATATATATGTGTGTGTGTGTGTGAATGGGAATCAAATATAGATAAAATATGGATTCATATATATATATATATATATATATATATATATATAATTGGAATCAAATATAGATGAAATATGGATTCATATATATATATATATATATATATATATATATATATATATATATAATTATTTGAAGATGGAACAGAGCTTAGTACTTTAATTCAATTTAATTCAAATAATTATATTGAAGTTTTCGGCTCTTGTTTTGAAACATGAGAACTCTTATGTAGCGTGTTGGAATCATATTTTTAAATAAATAATTATATTTATGCTCTACTTTTGTATCGAGCACTATTTTTTAAAAATAATAACAAAAATACTAAAGAACTTTGGATTATTTACCTAACGAGTTCTTTCCTATTTTCTATATATTTTTCACACACACACACACACACACACACACACACACACACACACATATATATATATATATATATATTACTTTTGATTTTGTCGACTGCACAATTTGGTAGGGTCAGTTGGGCACTGTCTGTGAGAAAAAGAGCACTATTACGCAATTCACTCCGTCAGGAATTTGGAAACGGCATGCTGTACTGCTTGGCATTTGCACCGGAATCTCCAATACGAACATTTCAGAGTATTTGGGTGTCAATCTGAGGACAGTTCAGAGAATTCAGAAAGAGTCCGATGAATCTAATAATTATTACGAAGGTATGGCGTATCGGAAAACACACTCTGATTGTTCTCATAAGAAAAGAACTCCCGAATTTGTTGGTGAGGGCCTCAAACTCAACACAGAGGCCTACATCAAGTAACATGAGGAGCTAGTGCTGCCCTAGGTCAAGAAGATGCCTACTGAAAGACCCTATGTCTGGCAAAAGGACTCCACACCATGCCTAAGAAGCAGAACGCAGTCAATGCTGTCAGACAATTTCTGTGATTATATCATTTTTTTACATCTGGCCATTTAACTCCCTGCGGCACAGTTGAACGAAAAACCGATAAAATTCCTTGTAACATCAAAGATGAAACGAAAGCAATGATTATGGCAGCATTCTCTAACTTAAACAAAGAAACTGTCAGGAAGAATTTCAAGAGATTCAGAAATCACCTGGAGGCCGTGGTATAAGCAAAAGATTTCAGCTCTTTTAGTCGCAGAAATGTTTTTCTTCGGAGACATTTTCAACAAAGAAGCACTTATAAATTGGTACTAAACTTGTTACTACAAAAAATAGAAAAGATTTTGTACTACAGATTAAATTACAAATGAATTATCTTGTTACTAAATAAGTAAATGAACACAAATCCTAGTAGCCATAAATGCTGATAGCCATAAATGCGAGTGAAACATCAATTCAAGAAAGCTAATTATAAAGTTTCAGATAATATATGGTGGAATTTTAATCATATTTCTTTTCTACATCTGACTCATAATTTTATCCATGAGTGTGCGTACACACACACACACACATATATATATATATATATATATATATATATATATATATACTAGCTTCTACGGAGGGCTATTGATTGAGCCTTCATCACAATAGGTATGGAGTTGAGATAGACAATAATAAACAACAGAAGAATTCAAAATTGATCGCTGCATTTAAGTATCTCATTAATATCTAAGCTTACCTTTTAAAAGTTCGATGATAATTCATCTGCTGTCACTTAATTTAAAGATAATTTGATGCATGTAAGTCCTTACTTTCCGTACAAACCATTATTTTTATATCATGAGTGACTTTCGCTGGATTTCGGAATTAATTTCGATTATTCCCAAACTTATTTTCACGTTATAAAAGTTGTTATCGTAGAATAACATTCGTCGCAAAAAATCGCCGAAAACAATCGCTGTAATGAAAACTTGGGATTTCATGATGGCGGCTCCGGATCCGGCCGGGGAGGTTTTTAATTTGCTTACGGAATCGGCCTGATTTCAAAATGATATGATATTTGAGCTAGTAAAGTTGAAAAAGTGTGACACAGTGACAAATTGACATTCGCATTAATCATATAAAAAATCTTTCATGGATGGAAATATTTGAAAAAAATCTGGAGCGCAGATTTATATTTTGATATGATTCGATAGCGGCACTTTTCTGAATTTTCTGTCACACACACACACACACACACACACACACACACACACACACACACACATATATATATATATATATATATATGGTATCAAATGACAATTGGAAAAAAAAATCTTGTCCATAGAATTCATCTGGGAATTTAACTATATATATATATATATATATATATATGCTAATAGTAAGAATAAAAGCCAATGCTTAAAATAAGCCAAAAGCTTAAAATATAAACTTACGTTTTGCTGAAAACCTTAGGTTTATAATTCTCAGAATTTCAGACCCAGATGTCCTCAAGGACACATGGCACAGTGGCGTTGGTTAGATCCAGTGACAGACCCAAAGAAGGTGAGTTCAATACCTGATTAAGGCAGTGGAGAGCTTTCAGAGGGAAAATTAGCAGGAGATAACTGATAACTGACATCCATCAAACATGGCACGTGGAACTAGAGTCTACCTCACAGAACAGTCTACTCCAGTGATCGAAAAAAAGGGTTCAGAAAATTCCAAACACTTGAAGAAGGCCGGAGCGTACAACGGCCGAAACGTTGTGACAAATATAGTCCGACTAATGTAAATACTGTACATAATACCTCATCTCAGAAATATAGACACTCAAACCGACTGAGCGTAAGTATAATACAATAATACTATCAATACCAAATTCCGCTACACAGAATTTCGGGGCAGAACTACGGAACCAATCTATTAACTTATTCCAGGTGGGGCAAGTAACTCCGACACCGATATGTGTTTTTAATCCAATATTTATTCCGTCATGTAGCCATAAATTCGCTTCTCTTATTCAAAAGTTGAACTCCCATTCGCTGTATTTTTTCCGTTATATATGACATAAATTTGAGTCACGTGTGAAACGAAATCACGCGTTCAAATTTTACCTCTGAAAAACGTTACGATTTTTGTTTAGACTATTATATCTATTATATAATCGTGAAAATCTCTAGGCTCAATCCACTTCTCCAGATTTAACCAAATGTGTAAAACGGGCCGATTACTTTTCAGCATACTTCGTTTATATCCCCCCTCTCTATCTCTGTCTATCTGCGTGCATGCAACTGTGTTTTGCGTGTATGTTTGAATCTATAGTTTTATGTGTGAGTATAAAAAGAAAATACAACGCTTGTAAAATCGGGTATGCACATAAACTATCTATTTTTATGGGTATTTATTTAATCTGACCTAGTTAGATACTGAGGAGTGCAAGTTAAAAAGATAATGTAGCGCCAGTCATTCCGTTGGCTACATGCTGGCATTTTATCGTGTGTAATATATGTGGTCCTTCTATTTACGATTTTAGTCACAAGTTTTTAAAGAATTTCATCCCAGGCAAGGCAATAAAGCCACTAAGATTCAAGATGGTGTGAGAGAATATGAGAAAAAGTAAACATTATTAAGGAGAGGGAACAATAAAAGACAAAAATTAAGAAGACAAAATATAATGAATGTTGCATTTAAATTTTTGAAGATGAAAATTGACTGGAAAGTAAAAAAGCCGAAGTGAGTTCCACAAGCGAGAAGTGCTAGAGAAGGAAATGTTAGCATAGAACTTACGGTTATATCTAAACATTTCCATTGTAAAAGGATGAAACCTAAATGCCAATCTAGTCAGTCAGTTATGTGCTATGCGCGATACACGCTTAGGCGATCATGTCTTTTTCAATACATGATTTTTTTTCCAGCAGTTTGTTGCCATTTCTTTTTGCGATAGACCCGTTGACATCCAAGGCTTTAGAACACGGTCTGCCCTGCTATTTACTCATAGCTTGTGGTGGGGTGGAGAAGAGGATTCATACCTTTCCGAGGGGTATTATTAGCACGTAAGTAAATGCAATGGATTCGACTGGAATTCGAACTCGGCTCTGCGATTCCTCAATCCGAGCCGCTATCCATTACTCCACTGTACGACGGTTGAATGGGCAAAGTTGGAGTATCAAAGAGGAAAGCTCATTAGAACAATTGCCATGAAAAGATTTATGGGAGGGAAGCCATGTTCCAGTAATGGGAAAAATGACTCAAGCTCACAGTTAGGTCATCTTCAGTTATATATACAGATTTAATTTGTGTCTGTTTATTTTTGCTTAACTGATTGGAATTTTTTTTCTTTCTGATTCATTTGAATTCTCGATCACATCAGGTAATTCTTGACACTTTTCTTTTTTTGCTAACAATTTTTCATGCTTCTTAATATTTGTTGCTTTTTTTTAGCTTTTGGAATGCTTCCGCCATTTTGATACACCTTCAGATTTCTCTATGGCATTTTTTTTCGTCTTGCCAGAGAGTTAATTCTGTGTACTTGTTTACAATCTGATGTCTTCACTTCATAGCTTTCATTTTGGGTTGTTTCTCTAGCTACCGACGAGATATGTTCTTGCTGTTGCTAGTCGGATTTAGCAGACGTTTAATATACGAGGCCTTTCTATTTACGGTATTTTTTCTAGTCACACGTATCTTCCGAGGAAAACATATGCAGACAGGCTAAAAACAGACGGCATAATAAAATGTCTACACTTTTTATTTCGATCTGTTTTATTTTTGTTTAACTGAGAGAAAGAAAAAAGTTTTCTTTTCGATTCAGTTGAGATCTCGATAACAACCGGCCGATTACTCGATCTTTGTCATTGTGAAGCTAACACAATCAAGAAACTCAACTTTGATTAGGGAAATCGATCGATCGATAAGGTTTGGCCGCAAGGTAAAAGAGAATCTCCAAGAATTTTTTTTTTATTATTTTTATTTAAATTCACTCTTAAGCAAATTGTAAACAAATTTGTTCTTGCGTTACTGAAATCACTTCAGTGATATTTTTCTTTCGCAGTATTCCCCGCCCCCAACCCGCTTTTACACACAAATCCCACAATACATTTTTAACCCCTCGCGTGATTTGCTATACACGCCACATATTCTGGGAAATGCGTTGGCACATGCACACTCACAGACACGCATCTAAATGCGCTCAAAAAAAGGAAAAAATATATATATATATATATATATATATATATATATATATATATATATATATATCATCAATAACAGAGCCAAAAATCTAACAGAATTATAAATTAATTTGTAACAGTTTGATGCAAATATTTCCAGTGTTTTGTTAACAAAAATATTTTTTTCATTTCCAGTATGAGAAACTATCACTATTTACGTCATTTACTCTTATGGCCATATCAGGTTGAAACACAAGTTTTCGTTTGATCACCGGTTAAGCATCGTTGAACATTGTCAGTACTCAGATGGGTGAGCGCTATGGAATACCGGGTTCTGTAAGTCCTGCGACAGCCCTAGCAAGATGGCGAGGGATACAATCCCGTTACTTATAAAATGAGAAAACTTTGATAGGTTGAGGTGCTTCTGAACTGACAGGTCACAAGACCTACCTGCGGTTGGGTTTGTTTTGTGAATGCCATTCGCAATATATCCTGATCTTAGTTGCTAATATTACATTTCAGTCGTTGTTCCTCAGACATTCTTCAAGTGTCTTTAATCCTGGTTAACTTTCAGGGAATTTCTGGGAACTTTATTTAATTTTCTGACAGAGATTCTTTTCTCCCCCCCACTTCTTCTTCGTTTCTACGGCTCGCTTATTGATTCGTACTGAGTCAAAGTCTATACTACCCAGCCCTGGGATTGAACTCACAACTGTTAGATTACTACATTACTAAATTCACAAACCAATGCTTTAATCCTCTCGGTTATTGTCCTATATATTAGCTAATCCTTTAGCTAAATCCTTTAGCTTTTGTTATTATACTTGTCTATTTTTGTTTGTAATTTTTTTCTTGCTTTTCTTATAAACTCCAATTCTTGGACGCCACTTTGAAATTTAGTGAAGATTACCCGGATTTTCAGAAACCTGAAGAAGGTCGAAATGCACAACGACCGGAACGTTGTGATAAAAACAACCAAGATGGGGACATGACCGAATTTAAATAATGCAAATAAAATATTTTTTTTTATAAAAATTTAATGTATCATTATGCCTAGACGAAAATATTTTCAATAGTTTTCTATAAACTGGTGCTTTTTTTTTCAAATAAATTGTGTTTTCAGATTTCACTCGAAGAATTCTTCGATATCTTGAGCTTGGTTATTTTTATTTTTCACAGAGACAAGGAATGTATAGCGGTAAAATGAATATCATCCTGTTTGGATTACAAACGAGACGTAGAAAACTTCCCTATTGCATCTCTCTGGATGTTTGCTGCGTCGAATTTGTAACATTAGGAAAAACGTTTTCATGCATAAATATCAGTGATCAAATTTCACGCTATCTTCTCTACCCCTCAGTGTCATTAAAATTGGCTTGTACGGATCTCATAATGAAGAGAAATTTTCAATTTCGTTAGCGCCTGGTTTTTTCATACTTTTTTTTTGTCTTTAACTGTTTCTTTCTAGATTTCTTAGTAACTACCCCCCCCTTTTCGATTTCTGTTTTTCTACTTCTTATGATCTTCTCACTGGATGTGCCATTCTTTGTTTTATCTCACATTCTTTTTTTTTCTTTCTTTGTTCAATTCTATTTAAATTTTTTTTTCTTTCTTTTGTCGTTTTACTTTTCTATTTTCGTTTGTAATTTTAACATTTTCGTTTTTGTAATATTGTTTTTCTTTTTCATTCTTTTGTCTTTCCTTCTTTCTTTGTTAATTCATTTACTTTGTAAAAATTTGTTTCCTTCCTTTCTTATTTTTCTTTCTTTCTTTCTTTTTTTCTTTCTTTCTTTCTTTCTTTCTTTTGTCATTTTTCCTTTCCGCATTTTTTAATAATATTTTTTTTCTTTTTTATTTGCTTGTCTTTTTCTTCTTTCTTTGTACATTCATTTACTATTGAAAAATTTGTTTTTCTTTCTTCCTTTCTTTTTTCTTTCTTCCTTTCTTTTTTCTTTCTTTCTTTCTTTTTTCTTTCTTCCTTTCTTTTTTCTTTTTTTCTTTCTTTTTTCTTTCTTCCTTTCTTTTTTCTTTCTTCCTTTCTCTTTTCTTTTTTTCTTTCTTTTTTCTTTCTTTCTTTCTTTTTTCTTCCTTTCTTTTTCTTTCTTTCTTTCTTTTTTCTTTCTTCCTTTCTTTTTTCTTTCTTTCTTTCTTTTTTCTTTCTTCCTTTCTTTTTTCTTTCTTTCTTTCTTTTTTCTTTCTTCCTTTCTTTTTCTTTCTTTCTTTCTTTTTCTTTTTTCTTTCTTTTTCTTTCTTCCTTTCTTTTTCTTTCTTCCTTTCTCTTTTTTTTCTTCCTTTTTCTTTCTTTTTTTCTTTCTTTTTCTTTCTTTTTTTTTTTTCTTTCTTTCTTTTTTTTTCTTCCTTTCTCTTTTCTTTTTTTCTTTCTCTTTTCTTTCTTCCTTTCTTTTTCTTTTTTCTTTCTCTTTTCTTTCTTCCTTTCTTTTTTTTTTTTTCTTTCTTTTTTATTTCTTCCTTTCTTTTTCTTTTTTCTTTCTCTTTTCTTTCTTCCTTTCTTTTTCTTTTTTCTTTCTCTTTTCTTTCTTCCTTTCTTTTTCTTTCTTTCTTTCTTTTTTCTTTCTTCCTTTCTTTTTCTTTCTTTCTTTCTTTTTTCTTTCTTCCTTTCTTTTTCTTTCTTTCTTTCTTTTTTCTTTCTTCCTTTCTTTTTCTTTCTTTCTTTCTTTTTTCTTTCTTCCTTTGCCCTTTTATGTTTTTTTCTTTTTAATATTGATTTTAATTTTTCATTCTTTCTCTTTTTTTATTTGTTCATTCTTTTTTTCAACCTCTGTTTGTTTATCCTGCTTGTTTATTTTTCTTTCATTCTTTAGTTTTTCGTACTTTCTTTCGAATTATCTATTGACCTCTGAAGCAATCAAATAATCTATCAAACCTAAATTTTGTTGTAGGGGTAGAATTAGTAAGCGCCAATCTTAAATTCTTGCCAGTGAAAATTTTTTTTTTTTAAATTTCTTCTTTATTGATTTTTCTTCTTTTTTCGTTATTTAATTTACTGGCCTTCTTGCATTTTTCTTCGACTTTTTTCCTAGCTTTCATTCTTTCTTTCTTTTTTCTTTCTTTCTCAATAATACTACGTTTATATCTGTGATTTTTTTATATCTGATTAGCCACACTCTTTCGCTTTACTTTGCCC